CACTTCAAGGTCTACTCATATCATCAGACCTTGCAGTGGATTAAAATGCAAACTGATCTCTCTCTGACACTGACCCGCTGGCTGCATGACATTGATGTTTACAATTTTGAACCGAAGCATAAGAAAGGCTGTTATAATCGTGTTGCTGATGCTTTGTCGCGTCATCCTGAGTTTTTGACTTGCCTTGTGAGCTCATATGACTTCCGAAGGAAACTGAAGGAGTATCTGGTCGAACACACTGCCAAGGATCCAGACCACAGTCCCATCCTTGAGCAGCTCAAGGATGACCCTAGCAATCAGCCTGATTTTCACGAGTGCGAGGGTCTTGTATTCCGCCCGTATGGGAAGTTAGATCGTTTGTGTGTACCCAACCATGCGCCTCTCCGGACTCATTTATTGGATTTGGCACATGGTCGGAGTGGACACTTCAGCTTTGAGAGGACTTATGGAAGTCTTTTGCAGCAGTGTGATTGGTCGAGACTCATTTATTGCTGAATGTCAAGTCTGTCAAAGGACCAAGGTCCATAGGCATAAACCTTATGGCCTGTTGAAACCCCTCCCCATTCCTGATGGACCCGGTGAGTCGATTTCCATCGACTTCACGGACATGGGAAAGGTGAATGAAGGGGGAAATTCACAAGTCATGGTCATCGTGGATCGTTTTTCCAAATTTCTGAATTTGATTCTTTTCCCTCCCCATGCCTCAACTGAGTTTGTGATCGAAGAATTTCATCAGCAGTACATTCTGCAGTTTGGCCACCCGAAAACTATTGTGAGTGATCGGGACACCAGATTCATTAGTAACGATCGGAAGGACTTCACTTCTTAGATCTACGACATTAAACTCAACAAGACTTCTGATTGACACCTCGAAGCCAATGGATTGGCAGAGGAAATCAACCAGACTGTCATTCAACTACTTCGCGCGATAATTATTCCAGATCAGAACACGTGGGACAAGGAGTTACACAAAGTGTAGGGGTTGTACAACAACTCCATTCACTCTGCAACTGGCATGACACCGAATCAGCTGCAATACGGATGGCAGCTGCGCAATCCTCTCTCCTATCTGTTCCCCGAACGGTCACCTGGTCTGACGCCCGGCATGCCTGGCTACAATGCCAAGTATGCACGCTTGCTCAAAGTTGTTGTCGCGGCAATGAACAAGTGTCAGCATGTCATGATTAAACATGCTAACAAGTCGCGCAAAGAAGGGAACTTCGTAGTAGGAAGTTATGTCTGGGCCAAAATGTCTGAGTTTTATGACGAAGAGGGCGTATCACTAAAGCTTCTTCCATTGTACTATGGCCCTTGGCAGGTTCTAAAGATGGTTGGGGATGATTTTGGTCCTTCGTATGTGATTGACGTGACTCCTCATCTGCGCACATATCCGGTCTTTCACGCGTCCAAACTGTTTCCACACATCGATGATGAGACAATTCCCTTCCGAGATCCTATGATACCTCGTCCTGTCAACGACGACTATGAGACAGACAAAATTGTTGAACGAGTTTTTTTGGATCGACCGAAAAGAGCTGCTAAAGAATGCTCCCCGTGTTGTTAACGCTTATGAACGACAAATCGCTGATGGACAGACTAAGTTTTCTGCAAAACTCACTCCTCACGGTTATACTAAATCTCTCTTTCTGATCTACGTCTATGACGCATTTTGTGGCAACTCTGAATGAGTTACTCGCTCAAAGGGACCTCGCCCTTGAGAGGGGGGTAGTGTAAAGACCCGCCAAAACACAGATGGAGAACACTGCTGATTTCAGGGATTTGCTGCTGGAATGAATGCCTTGCTGAGATTCGCATTCTGCTGTGGTTTCCAAGTCTGTGTGTGTGTGCGTGCCTGCTGGTTTGCGTGCCTATCTGAGTGCTTGTTGGTTGAGTGTGTGTGTGACCTGCAACGGTACTTGTTGGTTGAAAGGCCCCGCAGGGCCGGTACTTACCTGTGGCCGTGACTTTGAGGGTTGCAGTGGGGAAAACACTCAAGTAGCAGGGGAAGGGCCACGACACTTAGAGCAACGGAGAAAAACATTTAAGTAGCAGGTAGGCCGGTACCACTCGAGTAGTGGTAGAAGTGTCAGGTACTGGAGGCCAAGCAAAAGAAGACAAAAAGTTGGCATTTTTAGAGGCCCAGAAGCGGTAGGTTAGAGGTAGGCCGGTACCGGTCCAAGTAGCCTGAGTCTAGGGCCTGTCCGGACGATAGCAGAGCCTGCAATGATGTTTCCCTCCGAAAGGGAGGAGGTACCAGTTGCTGGGAGGCCAGTCACCGCCCAAGAGGCCAGTAGGCCACTATAGCTTCAGGAGGAGCAAGCAGCTCCTCCTCATTTGTGGTATGCAGAGATTGGCGACATACTGCTGGAGCCAAGGGCTGGACTTGGGCAGCGCTGCATGGAGGTGACGAGCAGCTGGGCGCTCAGCCTGGCTATGGCGAGCAGCCCAGCCTGAGGAGGAGGAAGAAGGGGGCGAAGGAGGAGAGTGGCGAGGTACCTACCTGGCTATGGTGGACACCATCTTCATCACCTTGTTGGGCGCTGCATCTGGAAGGCCCCAGTTGGGGTAGTGCCGCACCAAGGAAGCTCGAGGCAGAGTCAGGCATGGCGGCTTAGTCAGCAGCGGCATAGCTGCTTTGGGTTGTCCTTTGGACAGGAGTGCAGCGACATAGCTGCTTTGCGTTGTCCTTTGCACAGGAGGGCAGGGCCCTCAGTCTGTCTCTTATACACATCTAGATGTGTATAAGAGACAGGTGAAGGAGGAGGAGGAGGGTGGAGAGAGAAGGGGGATTTGTCATTGGTCTTGCTGGTGTACTTCTTCTTCTTCTTCTTCTTCTTCTTCTTCTTCTTCTTCTTCTTCTTTCTCTCTTCTTTGGTCTCTATCTCTTTGCAAGTGCTTTCATTTCTTTCGCAATTGGGTGGCATTGTCTTTCATTGTGAATTTGCACTTTGGGAATGACCAGGATCGTAACAGCACACGATTGGGTGGTATTGTCTTTTCTGTGAGTTGTGGTGGTGGGGGCAGGCATGGTACACACCACCTCTGCACCCTCCCCAACAGTGGCTGCATGGTTTAATTGCAGCCCCGCACACCCAATTTTCCCAGCATCCGGCACTTGTTGGGTCACACACGTTGGCCAGGGCCCTCTGTGATTTTTCCCCACCCCAAGTGTGTCTGCCTTTTGCTGTGCACTTCCTTCTTTTTTTTATATATATATCGTCACAAACAGAACTGCCCGGTAAACAGTAGGCAGAGAGAGAGAAGAAGACAACAAACGAGGGTATATATTTATTATACTAATCTTCTCTGCATCATTCCAATTCTAACGGATGTCCCGAAGGACACTGTGCACTTCATTCTCTTTCGTCTCCTTGAGCTTTTTTCGTTAGCTGTGGTGGTTGGGGCTGGCTCGGTAGTAGAGTCAGTACACACCACCTCTGCACCCAATTTCCCCAACATCCTGCACTTGTTGGGTCACACATATTGGCCAGGGCCCTCTCTGATTTTTCCCCACCCCAAGTTTCCCCACAATCGCCACACGTGGTCAACGGGGACCCCCAGTTTCAGCTCCTGACTAACAGGTCCACAACTGAAATTAGGGTTTTGGGGGTCAAATTTTATGTTTTTGTTTTTCTTTTTTATGTTTGCCTGTTTTTGTTTTGGTTCAAGGTTGTTGTGTACCAAATTTGGTCTCATTTGGAGCGTTGGAATTTCCTCTGCTAAGATTTCTGAAATTTCTCAAGATTTCTGAAACTGAATGTTGGCGAAATTTGCATGAAAGTGCACTTTTGCCTTGCCGTTTTGTAGGGGTTTTTTTTTTCGGTTTTTTTTTTTTGGGGGGGGGGGGAGTTAGTAATTATGGTATCTACTCTATGACTTGGTGGCAAACGCCACACCACAATTCTCCTCGTGCATGACTTGTAGATTGCCGCCCCTCTGTTTTCCTTAGCCAGTCATTCTGATTTCCACTGCAGTCGTCCACCACCACCCCAATTTTCCTACCGCACTCGTGCAATGCCACCCTGATTTTCCCCCACTCCAATTTTCCTTGCAAGCGCCGCCACCCGAACTCTTCCCCACCTCAATTTTCCTCGCCTGGTACTGCCACTCCAATTCTCCCCAACACCAGCCCAGCCGTGACCTTGGCGCCAATGGCTGGACCTCCCGGGCTGAATTTCCCAAAATGCGGGGTGCCGCGTGCCGGCCATCACCCGGACTTTTCCCCACACCCACGCTCCTTCCAGGCCAAATTTGCAAAAACTGGGGAACTGCGTGCCGGCCTGGCAAAACTTGTAGGCAATCCACATACCGTCACAGCATCACCTGGCATAGAGCATTCTGCTGCCAGACGGAAACACATCCACCCGCCGTAAGCAAATCTTGCCTCATAATGAGCAAAACGCACCTGATGAGAACATCTCGCAGGTGATGAGCTGCACCCCCCCTTCCCCTCCCCCCCCCCCTTCCCCCCCCTTCCCGGCCTGGCAAAACTTGTAGGCAATCCACATACCGTCACAGCATC